ACTAGAGCACTAAAATCACATTTGCAAAACCCAAGAAGGAAATGCACCCAAGATGTCAGGGATACTTAAATATTCGCTGATTTGCTTGAATAACCAAAGAATAATGACTTAATGCATTTCAGTAACGCATGTAGGTACTTTATGCGGTTATAAGAGTATAATGGCTTTAAAATGCATTTTGCATAATACATGCATGAATTTTGTCATGATCATGAATGTGATCTTGTATGTTGTTTATTTACCCAGTGTGATTGGGTGCAGAGTTGATCTAAGTATGTAATTTCCGACAGCATGAAAAGGACATTTATTATGATCAAAAATCATAATCTGTGCAAACAGCAATTAATTCCTGTTGTCACGCCTGTCAGGTTGGACTGTCTTTCCACAACTTGAAGTCTGGAGTATAAATTAGTTATCAAAAAACACCGATATATTTTGAAAGACAAAAGGAACTGTGATGCATTTCTTTATTTCTACTTTATGTGCGAAATACCAGTGACGAAATTGACATAGGATGTTTAACAAGCTGCGTGTCTCAGTGTTAGTGTGATTGTTCAGAGTCTGGCACCAAACAGAATTAATCGAGGAACTAAGCAATGTTTGTAATCAATGTTTTCTATATACATAGGCGTGTATACAATGCCTAACACATGTATATTAAATATCGCCTATGTTACAACCCCCGCCGTACAGTGTATAAGACTGGTCCAGAGGGCCAGTTCCTTCTCGAGAAATAGAGTAAAGAAAAAGAGTGAAATAATTCCTGAGAAAGTCATTTTCTCTTGTTGGCCTAAAAGGATTAAATGGTGAGACTCCCTGACTGCGGCCCACCTGGGTGCCGCCACGGAATGACAATGTCTGCTTTGGTGAAGTTGGACGGAATCCCGCCGATTAGTCTGCCACGTCGTTGTCGACGTCGCCCGAGAATATTCTCGGGAGTAATCGGCGAGCGAGGAGGAGAGAGCTGACCAGGAACCGAGGCTAATCTTCGTGCGAGGACGGAACCTTGAAGAAGGAATGAATCACATCAAAGTACATTTATCGGTGCGTCAGTTACAGAGCTGAAACGATTGATTGTTACAAAACTGTGTATTTGCATACACTGCTAAGAAACACACACGTACGCATACGGACTTTAACAGCATTGGAACAAAAACCAGTGAGGCTTTTTGTTGCATCCAAATAATTATGCTAATGCCAAAACCTCACGATTCCCTTGGTAAAATTGGAAAAGTCTGCGGAGTCAAGAAGCCTCATTTCCTTATATTCTGCCATCAGGCACCTACAGCAAGTAGGGTTACAGTGACCATAAAGACGCTCATTTGAGCTCTGTATGCGTTACATAACTGGGGCTTCCGTCTCTCTGTTGGTGTGACATAGCTTTCTATTCAGACCAACCGAGGAACCATTGATCGCATGGAATGAGAGTAATATCCGTGTTGGAAATCAAGTTCTATACACAACTATAAGAATAAAACAATCTAAAATCAGAACTGGAAATAGCCTGGAATGGCACGAAAGCATCGGTCTCAGGGGAAGAAAGCATCGGCATTTCGTCGGCACAAGAACCTCGTGATCAACAGATAGAAATACGAGGCTTAACCCATGTTCGCCTTGAGGAGTTCCGGATCTCCTGTCTGCTCTCTGGAACTGACACACAGATTTGTGCATTTAGTCTTTTTCTTCCTTCCTTCCTTCTTCCCTCCCTCTTTCTATCAAATGTACGGCGCCAACTGGGGTATCATCTTGTTTAGCTCCTGTTACCAACATATATGTAACAACACTGAAGACACTTCCTGTGTTCTGTTATATTGAAAAAAAAATGTGTAGATATGTACTTACAAGACAGAGTTTATTGAATATAATAATTTATGTTGTAAAGAGGAAAGCAAAGATGAAAACTGTCATCCCCTTAAAATTTGGAATTTGTATAGTTGTATTGTATATGTGAAGACCTGTACGACTTATGTTTCCGGACACTATCCTAGGAACAGGATATTGTCTGTACCTCATATACGAAAGAACTGATGCAGACTCCCCCTATTCGTGCGTGGCCTGACTGCAGGAACCTTAAAGGAAACGAGTCCTTTAGGATAATTTTTTATTAATTTACGAAAGTTTGCTAAACCTCAGGTTCACCGAACATGTCATTCACGGGCTCAAATGCTTAATGTATAAGTGGACTAGTGAAACTTTGTAAAGGTGTGCTTTGTAAAGCAAGCCTCTTGCCAGAGCCTACTAGAATCTACTAGTTGACATTCAATCCAACAGCTGCATAATAACGAAGTTACTGTGTACTACTGTGTACTAGAAGATCCCATTTTGATACTCCATTTTTCTATACATGAGATATTTAGGACAGATTACGCCATAATATTAAAGTGGAGCCAGTGTGACTCCCTCCTATATTTATACGTATACATGTAAGTATATGTATGAATGCATATATACATATATATTGTGTGCATATATACATGTGTGTATATGGATATAAATACATCCGAACGTGTATATGTATGTATATATATATATATATATATATATATATATATATATATATATATATATATATATATATATATATATATATATATATATATATATATATATATGTATGTATGTATATATATATATGTATGTATATATATATATATATATATATATATATATATATATATATATATATATATATATATATATATATATATATGTATAAGTATTGTGTGTGTGTGTGTGTGTGTGTGTGTGTGTGTGTGTGTGTGTGTGTGTGTGTGTGTGTGTGTGTGTGTGTGTGTGTGTGTGTGTGTGTGTGTGTGTATGTGTGTATGTAAATATATATATATATATATATATATATATATATATATATATATATATATATATATATATATATATATATATTATGTATGTATGTATATATGTGCGTGTGTGTGTATGTTTGTGTGTGTATGAATACATGTATGTATGTATATATAAATGTATATTAATATACATATAATACGTGCATATATACACATATATTCTGTATTTTCGAGTACTTAATTCTATCTTTGTGAGTTCATATCACGTTTCTCAATGTTGCATCTCTGTGCGTTTTATATCCTGAAAAAAAATATATTGGGCCCCGAGGAAGGGCCAAGTGGAGCTCGTGTTGATGTGTTGTGCCGCCGCCTAGTTGCCCTCCCCGACATTTTATGATAATCCCTCTCAAGGTCATATTACTCATATTGTTAGTGCTTTTTGTAGTGCAATATCTGATATCGCTGAGCTGTTTTCCTGACTCTTTTGTGTTTCGTTTTTAGTTTTTTTTTATTATTATTATTGTTATTATTATTGTTTCATTACTCTATGGGTTATTATTCCACCGTTGATAAAACCATTCGGATACAATGTATTGTTGATTGGTTTTATCGTTTTTTACGTATTTTGCTTTTGAAAAAACAAGTAAAAAAATAACCATTTACGAAACGAAGCTCATCGCTCAAAATTGATCTATAAAATCATTTATTCTCACATTATGTTTTTTTTTTTTTTTTATCAAATGGAACTCCGTCTTGTCTTCCCTTTTCCCTTGGGCTTCCGTTCCTCATAACTCCAAACACGCACCTTTTCCTTCGGGCGAGTCCCTATTTGGTTTTTCACTGTATCGGGGTCCCTCTACTTCATTCACTGCCTATTACGAATACTAGGGATTTCAATCCTCTATTTTTTGTTCGTGTTTGTTTTGGAAGAGATCGCGTTTCTTTTGCCTGTAGCGCTTACTGTTGTACTTATTTATTTATGTGTTCGTTTTCTCTTCCCTTTCCGCTCGCTTCAGGATTCTGTTCGAACACTTTCGCACATTGTCGGCTTCCTTCCTCCCCTTTTCCTTCCGCCATCTACTAACAATTTTACTCCACTTGTTTATTCAAGTCACACCGCTAGAGTTGCTTTTTATGCATTTATGATGTGTAATGTTGTTCTTTCTCTCTCTCTGTGTGTGTGTGTGTGTGTGTGTGTGTGTGTGTGTGTGTGTGTGTGTGTGTGTGTGTGTGTGTGTGTGTGTGTGTGTGTGTGTGTGTGTGTGTGTGTGTGTGTGTGTGTGTGTGTGTGTGTGTGTGTGTGTGTGTGTGTGTGTGTGTGTGTGTGTGTGTGTGTGTGTGTGTGTGTGTGTGTGTGTGTGTGTGTGTGTGTGTGTGTGTGTGTGTGTGTGTGTGTGTGTGTGTGTGTGTGTGTGTGTGTGTGTGTGTGTGTGTGTGTGTGTGTGTGTGTGTGTGTGTGTGTGTGTGTGTGTGTGTGTGTGTGTGTGTGTGTGTGTGTGTGTGTGTGTGTGTGTGTGTGTGTGTGTGTGTGTGTGTGTGTGTGTGTGTGTGTGTGTGTGTGTGTGTGTGTGTGTGTGTGTGTGTGTGTGTGTGTGTGTGTGTGTGTGTGTGTGTGTGTGTGTGTGTGTGTGTGTGTGTGTGTGTGTGTGTGTGTGTGTGTGTGTGTGTGTGTGTGTGTGTGTGTGTGTGTGTGTGTGTGTGTGTGTGTGTGTGTGTGTGTGTGTGTGTGTGTGTGTGTGTGTGTGTGTGTGTGTGTGTGTGTGTGTGTGTGTGTGTGTGTGTGTGTGTGTGTGTGTGTGTGTGTGTGTGTGTGTGTGTGTGTGTGTGTGTGTGTGTGTGTGTGTGTGTGTGTGTGTGTGTGTGTGTGTGTGTGTGTGTGTGTGTGTGTGTGTGTGTGTGTGTGTGTGTGTGTGTGTGTGTGTGTGTGTGTGTGTGTGTGTGTGTGTGTGTGTGTGTGTGTGTGTGTGTGTGTGTGTGTGTGTGTGTGTGTGTGTGTGTGTGTGTGTGTGTGTGTGTGTGTGTGTGTGTGTGTGTGTGTGTGTGTGTGTGTGTGTGTGTGTGTGTGTGTGTGTGTGTGTGTGTGTGTGTGTGTGTGTGTGTGTGTGTGTGTGTGTGTGTGTGTGTGTGTGTGTGTGTGTGTGTGTGTGTGTGTGTGTGTGTGTGTGTGTGTGTGTGTGTGTGTGTGTGTGTGTGTGTGTG